TCATTCTGAAGTCGGACGTGAAAGTTATTGCCAAAATACCGAATATTATTTTCTTAGTCAGATTAGGTTTTCTAGTTCTGGTCAAACGGGTTTATTTCGGGTTTGTATGTATATATACTTATGTTTTTACAAAAATTATCACCATTACATTAGAATTTCAAACCCTAGCAGTCCCTATTCCCCTCTCTAAAGTCCTAACCCTAAAATTAAGAATTTTGAGAGCTTTGTGAAGCAAATATCGACACAAGGGCGAGATCATCGACGTGTAGCAAGGAGAAAATGAGTTGTTTGCACTTCCAATTACTTGATGTTTATCTCAGAGGCTTAGAACGATATTTGAGGCAAGATTATTTTCATCTTAACCTATCTCCATAGTTAAATAACTAGTGTAGATGATTAATATGATGTTGAATATGTGTTTTCATGCTTTAATCTTAACCTGAGGTGTTAAAAGTCCGATTTTTGATAGTAAATCTTAAACCAATGCTAGATTAATAATATTTTTTTTACTATTTATGATAGTATCATGATCATGATCATTAGAGTTTTTCATAATTTTATTCATATATGAGAAATTTAAGTGATGTACAATATATATGTTTTTTTGCAGAAAACTGCAGCACTTGTATAATCTTTAATTGAGAGTTTAAGATAGCAAACAAACTCCAAATTTAACCAAACTAGTTTTAAATGAAAGCTATATGTATCTAGTTTCTAAAACAGAAAATCATTCTTAAAAAGACTTTGTATAGAGAAAGATATGCTATGTTTACTAATAACATATCTTGTAGAAAAATGGCTGCACATATATAATGTTTAACTGGAGATTTGGGATAACAAATGAACTCCAAACTGAACCAAACTTATGTCATTTGAAAGATGTATGAATCTAGTTTTCAAAACAGAAAATCATTTGTAAAAATAGTTTTCCTAGAGAAAGATATGATTATTTTACTAACAGATGTTCTGTCTGTTTTCCTGCTCGTTTTGTGGAGCTGTGTTGCGCCATTTTGAGGTGCATTCGCGAAGTTTTGAGCCACTTGATGTTACACGTATAGTCATGAATATGTTATGTTATACATTTGAGAATCCTAAGAGGATTATGATAAATTTTGATTCGATCATATTTGAATTAGATATAGTTCATATACATGTTGGATGTCGTTGATGAGCACAGCTCAGTACTATATGGGATAGTACGTCGACACACCAGATATACACCGTTTATACATGAGGTAGATATCGTTGATGAGCTCAGTTCAGTACTACATGAGGTAGTGCGTCGATATTCCACATTTATAGGCCATTGAGTCGGATTTTAGGAGGCTTGATCTAGCCGTCCGTCCCGCATTAGGGTGCGATAAGGCTCGTGAGCCGTATTTCTAGGATGCCTATTTGGTAGTTCGTTACACTCATGTTACGCACGGAGATCGCGATGAGACTAATGAGCCGTGTACACAGTTCAGGATACTTACAGGGTAGTTCGTTGTACTGAGACAATTACTTGATAGCCTAAGCATGGCAGATACCGATTATGAATACGACCTATCACTAAACTATATGACTGAGATACGTTATTTTTGAAAGTATACAAAATTATGTGTTGGTATTTTATTCTATCTCTCCAGTGATAGTGGAAGATATTATAAATATGACGTGTTGATATCTTATTTCTTTTACTGCCTTCTTTACTTCTTAGTTGGGATCAATGATTAGAGATTCACAACTTGAGACTTATGGTATATATATAAGGGTTTTCTTGTTTGGATTATTTCGCTCGACGTACCAGTCTCGTGTTATGGATTTCTAATTATTGGTTTCATTAGATTATCTTTTCTTAGTTCGGTATTAATGTTTAGATATCTACAATTTGAGACTTACGGTATATACATGAGGGTTTTCTTATTTGGATTATTTGCTCAACGTTCTACGTCTCGTGTTGTAGGTTTTTAAATGTTAATTCCACTTAGATACGGGGAAAATAAATTTAGGTAGACTATGCTTAATAGATAGAGCCTTCACTCCATCTAGTAGCCCTTCCCCTGGGGGCGAGTGGAGGTAATCTTGCTGTAGCGCTCTGACGTTCTTGTTGTTATTCTTTTTTTTTAAATTACTTTTCAGGTAGTTCAGAGTTTCAGAGAGTCGCAGGGTGACGGAGTTCTGGCATAGTCACCGTCGCGTATTTTTACTTGTAGAGACTCCACTGTAGTTTTGAGTTTTATCCAGACATTAGAGTTTATATTCATATTGTAAAGACAGTGTGCCTTAGTACGATTTTTAGTTGATTCATGTTAAGACATTTTTATTATTCAGATATCAGATTTATTATAGTTGAGACGTGATTCTTTTCATTTATGAGATATCTCTTCTATATCATGTCTATTATATTTATTCCCTTTATTTTGCCTATTTTGTACCTGTACTTCTATTTGTTTCTACTAGAGGATATTACTGTGATTGGTGAAACATGTTTATGTACAGTGTAGGTGCATGGCAGGTTTGACATCTCTAGTTTCACCTTGGACTGCAGCCATGTGTGAACCCAGGGGCGTCATAGTACTCCTCCAATTAGCCCAAGCGTAGCTTGAACTCTAATACCATTGTTGTGCACGACGAAAGCCAAACAACTGATGTGCTTCGAGGAACCAAACTAATCACCGAGAGAGAAGGCCACAAACAATTCGAAAGCCAAACAACTGATGTGCTTCGAGGAACCAAACTAATCACCGAGAGAGAAGGCCACAAACAATTCAAAAATAACTACACAAACTCAAATAACCAATTTTAACGTGGTTCGACAAGTTGTCTACGTCCACGGACCAAGAAGTGGATGAGTTTTTACTAATAGAGAAGAAGAATAAAAACTGAGATTACAAATCACTCGAACTCACCAATTAATCTCACCAATAAATCTCTAATTCTCTCCAAATAAAACAAATCACTCGAACTCACCAATTAATCTCACCAATAAATCTCTAATTCTCTCCAAATAAAACCCTAACCAATATCTCAGAAAATACCTTTTTTGTGCTCCAAATATCCCCAATTCGCTGCTCAATTTTCTCTTCTAATCGTTCCATATATATATAGAAATCCTAAAACCAAAAACATACTAGGAATTCTAAAATAAAAAACAAAATAGATTAGGAATCCTAATAACATGTTACCAAAACAGATTTGGAATACTGTTATCAAAACAGATTAGGAATCCCAATAATCTGTTACCAAAACAAATTAAGAAACATATTAGGAACATGCTATCCAACAATCAATATATGTTTCAAATCTAATAGTTTGTCCCAATCATCTCAATTTTAGACATGTTGTGCATTGTGCGGAAGCCAAACAATCAAACGTGCTTCGAGAAACCAAATACTAAACGTTGAGATAAAGGCCAAATCAACCAAATCAATGCCACAAACACAAACAAACCAATTTTAAAGTGGTTTGATAAGTTACCTACGTCCACGGGGCAAGAAGGGGATAGAGTTTTTACTAATAGAGAAGAAGAGTACAAATTGAGATTACAAATCACTCAAAGGAACAAACTAATCTTACCAACAAAGCTCTTAATCTCTCCAAATAAACCCTAATCAAATAGCTCAGAAAATACCTCTTTCCTGTGCTCCAAATATCCCCAATTTAAGCCTTACAAACCCTCAAAATCGTGTTATTATTTATACCAAAACAGAAACCCAAACAGAATCGAAATAGGAACTCTAACTGTTTAGAAAACCCACTATAAGTTGACTTAACAAGGTGTATAAGTCGACTTGACAGAGAGAAAAACAGCAACTGGAGAACAGATTGAAAATCGACTTACCATCGACTTACCACAAGTCGACTTAACAGGCTTCACAAGTCGACTTGACAGAGCCAAAACCAACAATTTCAGAACAAAACGTAAGTCGACTTACCATCGACTTACCATAAGTCGACTTATGCCTGTGCATGAGTCGACTTATGACACAGAATCCGCACAATCTGGACCAAATCTCTGATTTCTCCACAAATCTCCACCTCGGCAAAGTTTTTTCAAAACTGAGCCGATACCAACCAAACCAAATGCCTCACTTGTTGCGTCCAGTACGAAGTGAAACAATTCATAACAACGAACTCAATCCACAACAAGTCGAGACCCAAACAAGAGTGCGAATACACTCCCAAACATCGATGTCTACTCACCAAATCGGTCTCACCCCCATCAAATAATCCAACCCGGCTGTATCATAAAGATTGCCTACGTATCCTCTTGCCCAAACAAAATTATAAATATTCAAGGTTAACAAGTACTTCATCAAGCAGTTAAAAATTAAATAGCAAGTCATGGTAATGCATGCATCCAATCCGTTTGATGAAGTGACATACAAGTCATGAATATGGTTAGTGGAAGACTTAGGTATGGAGCACGAACACACAAATTCTACTATATGTTAACTGACTTGAGTTCTTCTTCTTAGACATCTGGGCAAATAAATCAATTGCCCTAATTCTCTTGATAATATTATGTACTCTTTTTTTTTTTGAATTTCTAAACTTATAAGACCATAAATATGAACTTCTTGTTAAGTAGGTGGAGAAGGGATTTCAAATGGTATATTACACTAATATAGAAGCCAAGAAAATAAGGACACAACTACTTACAACATACATTTTTAATACTTGTTTTCCACATAAAAGGCTACTCATGATTTGCAAACATATGTAACTGGAATACTTAATACCTTCTCTTGCTTATTCCTAGCCTTTATATCATCTTAAGATATACATCGATCCGATATATGAATACCAATCCTTGCTCTACGTATGAAGGCCTTAGAAATTCACATAAAATTCTAATAATGTATGTGTTGAGCTTTTCATACAAATTTATACAAATTCCAAAATTTACAGTCTTGCAAAATTTTCTCTTTACGATTTGTACATCACCACCCCTAACCCTAAAATCTCTACAAAAGTTATTGGCACTTATCCAAACCTCAAATTCTTAGGGTTTGTACCAAGTTACCAACTTGTATCGCAGCATCTTGCCATGGCCAAGCACCAAAATTTTGCTGACCCACAAATTCCCTTGCCTTATTAATCAAATTAACCCCATCCTTCTTCACTTTCTTCATTTTAGGACACTTCAATAACCCAACATAAGTCCCAATGTCATGGACACACGCGGGGTTCTTCATCTTGAAGAAATCCAATGCAAGCTCAACCCCAACATGTGCATAACATGCACAACTCCATGGGAGCTCAAACCTCTCAGCCAAAACCCTAAACTTCTCATTTAAGAAAACCCCTGGCAGTTTTGTCACAGGGTCATTAACATTCACCACTCTCAAAACCTTAACTCCAAGCTCCTCACACCTCTCCTTAAACCCTAGATTCCCAACCCTAGGCCCACCGTACGAATAAACGGTGACGGGTATTGTTCGATTCAACCCGACCCGGTTCAGTCCAAGCTCAGCTAGGTCATAACCAAGCAACAGAGCTAAAGAACTCCCCATACTATGACCAGCCAATGTAATACTAATCTCCTCATCTTTATACTTATTTAACAATCTTGATATTTCAGAGAGCAATTGCTCTCTGCAACTCCCATGACTGAACTTACAGTTACTGTCATCTGATGTGTAGAGACTCAAGAACCCCGACTCGACCTTCAGGTTGGGTCTCGACTCGTTTGGGTCGAGCCTGGCCGGCGTTAGGGAGCTCATGAAGTTGGCAATCCACTCAGTGTGGGTCACCGTACCACGGAAAGATACTACGATGTCTCTCCTCCCGAGTTTCTTAACCTCGTCGTCGTCTGACACGGCGACGTACCCGATCCAATGACTCCGACAAGTTCCCAATTGTGATGGGATGTCGATGTCCGGTGTCGCGTAGACGTATTTCGTGATTCGGTATCCACAGTCTGCCATTCCGGTTTCTTGAAACATGGTGGATTTCCCGTACTTGCAGTTCAGGTATCTTTTCGAGCTTGGGTCGAGGTCAAAGGCCTCGTAGGAGGCGATGACGAACTCGCCATAGCGGACGATTTCTTGACGGAGGAGTGGGTTTAAGGGCTCGACAAGATCTTCCCAGTCGTCAGCACCCTGGATTTCCCTCCATTTTTTCGCGAGGACGGGCTTCGAAGCGACGGTTGGAGTCGCGACGAGGCGTTTTTTGGTGGAGACCGCAGTCCCCGGGCAAATCAAGGCTGTGGCGGCGGCCGGAGGGTGAGAGAGACGAGAATGCGGTGATCGGTTATTGATTGGAGACGGATTCGGGGTTTGTATTCTTGAAGCCATAGTTTTTGTTAGCGTTTTGAAATGGAGTAAGGGTGAAGGGGAGTGATATTTATAGGCACGGAGCTATAAGGTTTTTTGTTTTTATTTTTTCAAACTTTTGGTCATATGTTGTGTTGAATTTCTGGGTAGAGCGCATTTATGGCGAGGTTTTGACGGAGGGATTTTTGTGTGTGGGGGAGGACTAACTAAAGTTTGAGTGGTCGGTTGCTCGTACTTCAGATGAAGGGTGGTTTGGTTTGTTTGCGGCTATGTTTGATAATTTGATGCCCGTTTAATTGAAATTGAGTTGAATATATATCTTAGTTTTTACACTGAAAAAAAAAAAAAAAACTCTATAGTGAAGTTGACTAGCTAATTGAAAACGGTGGGTATATATCTTGGTAGAAAATGACGTTTTAATTACCTTTTGAAATGACGGTAAAAATGATTTTAGGGGTGTTATATGAACGCCGACCTTTGTTAAGTGTTGAACATAGGACTGTTGAGTCTGTATGAATTATTTAATGGCATTTAATTAGTTTATTTAATTATTACGACGTTCAACGCGGTGAGGGGGATGGAGTGCTCCCTCTCTCTCTCTCTCTCTGCCCCCCCTCCGTACCTTTTTAGCGGGCGTCATCAGTGTAACGTGATTTTAATGTTTGGTTTTGTGGAGGAATGGGATTTGAGCCCCATTTCCTCCCATCAGATAGGAACCTGTCTTTTTCCAAGACTCCAACCTCATTCCCTCCCTCGAGCAATACAGAGCACAGATAGTTCTTGGGACTATTTGCTAAAAAAATGAAGAAAATCGAAGTCCATCTTGCAAAGGAATTTTGGATTAAATAAAAAAAGAGATGTGAAAAGTTTCAAAAATGTGGATTCCAAATTAATCCATTTCTAGACGTATGGCAATTTATGCTACACGTACCCGACCCTTATGTACCGTTTGACAAAGGGTTAAGTGAAGTATTGTGCGCGGTGGGGAAGCGAGACAACCAAACGGGCATGCTTCGAGAACAAAATCAAACAAACGTCGAGATAAAGGCCAAACAAATCAAAAAACAACGGCACAAATCCAAACACAATAGTTTTACATGGTTTGTCAAATTGCCTACGTCTACGGGGCACGAAGGGGATTGTGTTTTCACTAATAGAGAAGAAGAGTACAAACTGAGATTACAAAACGCTCAAACCAATTAACTAATCTCACCAATAAACCTCTTAATCTCTCCAAATAAACCCTTAAACAATTGCTCAGAAAAAACTCTCATTTTTATGTGCTCCAATATCCCCAAACCAATCTCCAATCAAAGTCAAAGAAACCCTAGAACGTTTATTGGTATTTATACAAACACCAAAACCAAATAAGAACAGGAAACCAACATATGGGCCTGACCCGCTACGCGGTCGACCACCACGGTCGGCCGCGACCAACAACAGAACCTGAAAAAACACTTACAGGGTCTGGCGGTCGACCACGACGGTCAACCATGACAAACGACAGAGCCAAAAATTACTTACAGGGTCTCGCGGTCGACCGCGCCAAATCCAGGCACATACTCAAGGCTTGGAACAAGGCAGACCTCAAGGTAGACCTCAAGGCGATGAGCTTGATTGAGCTGCACTTATCCGATGAAATCACCTACAACGTGATGGAGGAGACTACCTCCAAGGGCACATGGGAGATGTTAAAGAATCTCTACATGGAAAAGACTCCCTCTAACAAGCTTTTCTTAAAAGATGAATTGTTTAATCTTCTAAAGAATCTCTACATGGAAAAGACTCCCTCTAACAAGCTTTTCTTAAAAGATGAATTGTTTAATCTTCGTATGAAAGATGAAGATAATATTATGGAGCATCTTAATGTGTTTAACCATTGTCTAATGAATCTTTTGTGAGTGGAGGTCAAGTTTGAAGAAGAGGATAAAGCTTTGCTATTGCTACGATCCTTGCCGTCGTCATTCAAACATTTCCAGACCACACTCATGTTTGGCAAGGAAACTCTTCAATTTTAAGAGGTTGTTCAAGACATCATCTCTCATGTCAAAAATGATTAAGAGCAAGTGAGCTGACTTAAAAAATGAAAGCCTACACGTCAAGGAGTTGAATGATCGGGGTCGACCAAAGGAGAAAGGTGCCAAGTTGGACAACCGTGGAAGATCTAAATCCAAGAGTTACAAGGATAAGGAGTGCTATTACTGTCATAAGAAAGACCAATTTAAGAAGAACTGCAAAAAATTCAAGGTAGATCAGAAAGAAGGGAAGAAATCTGAAACCACCTCTTTGGCTGAAGTTGCCATGGAGAACAGTGCTGAGCTTCTTTCGGTTACGTCAGGTGAAACCATTTCTAATTCATGGATTCTTGATTCAGTTTGCTCTTTTCATATGTGTGCAAACAGGTTTTGGTTTGATACATATGAAAAGAAGGATGAAGGTGAAGTCCTTATGGGGAATAATGCCGCGTGCAAGGTCATCGGTATTGGCATAGTGAAGGTGAAGATGTATGATTGCATCATTCGTACTTTCGGCAATGTGCGGCATGAACCTGCACTCAAGAAGAACCTAATTTCTTTGGGCACTCTAGACGCAAGCAGCCTCACCTACTCCTCAGGCGGAGGCAAGATCAAGATTTATAAGGGCTCGATGGTGATCATACGAGGAGAGAAGCTTCCCAACAACTTGTACAAGCTTCTAGGAGATACTATCTTAGGTGAAGTTGCTGTATCCACAACTTCCAAAGAGGACTCCAAGATTGACTCTGAGAAAGACTCTACTCATCTATGGCATCTTCGTCTTGGCCATATGAGTGAGCGGGCTATGGAGGAACTGCACAAGAGGAAGCTGTTGAAGAACATGGAGACTTGCAAGTTGGATTTTTGCAAGTATTGCGTACCTTGAAAGCAATGCAAGGTCTCATTTAAGCCCACAAATAAGGAGAATCGTGCAAAGGGGATTCTCGACTATATTCACTCTGATGTATGGGGCCTGGCACCTACAAAATCTCATGGTGGTGCTCGCTATTTTGTCACCTTTATGGATGACTATTCGTGAAAATTTGGGTCTACTTCATATGGGAGAAATCTGAGGTCTTTGAGAAGTTCAAATAATGGAAGGCGAAAGTAGATAACCAAACTGGATGGAAGATCAAGTATTTGTGAAGTGACAATGGAGGTGAATATCGTGATGGGCGATTCTTAGCATTTTGCAAGCAAGAAGGCATTATGCAACACTTTACCGTGAAGAAAACTCCACAACAAAATGACGCGATGGAAAGGATGAACCGGACTCTCATGGAGAAAGAAAGATGCATGAGACTTCATGCAGGATTGCCCGAGTCTTTCTGGGCTGAATCTGTTAACCATACTGCCTACTTGGTTAATCGGTCACCATCTAAGCTGCTGAACTTCAAATGTGCCGAAGAAACATGGTCGGACAAAGAAGTTGACTATTCTACTCTAAAGGTTTTCGGATGCAAGACGTATGTTCATATTCCGAGTGATGAACGGAACAAGCTGAAGCCAAAGTCACTCGAGTGTATTTTTCTCGGTTTTGAGAAGGGAGTGAAAGACTACAAGTTGTGGGATCCGAAAAACAAGGAGAAAGTGCTGAGTAGAGACGTCATGTTTGATAAAAGAGCTGAAGCTATTGACAAAGATGAGGATCATTGTCGTACTAAAATTCCTTTGTCAATGGAAGGTTGTATTCTAGAAATTCAAGCTGAGGTAGAGCAACACGACGAACATCAACAAGCCGAAGAGGTTCATGCAGAACCTACAAGCATAGCACAATCAAGACAAAGAAGAGTCATCAAGCCTCCTCAACAATTCAGATGGGAAGATGAAGCCTGCTATGCACTATTAGCTAACGGAGAAGATCCTTCTACTTTCAAAGAAGCCATGGAAAATGATAAGCAGCAAAAATGAATATGTGCTATGTCGGAGGAGATGAAATCTCTCCATAAGAACTCCGTTTAGGAGTTAGTTCCAAAACTGTAAGATTGAAAGATCATCGGATCCAAGTGGGTTTATCGGAAGAAAGAAAGCATAAATGAAGCAGAGGCTCCTACCTACAAAGCAAGGTTAGTTGCGAAGGAGTTCTCGCAAAAGGAAGGAGTAGATTATGATGAAATTTTCTCTCTAGTGGTCAAGCATACATCCATTCGGGTGTTGCTATCTCTTGTAGCACAGCATGACATACAGCTAGAACAACTTGACGTGAAGACAACTTTTCTTCATGGAGATTTGGAGGAAACCATCTATATGGTTCAGCCAGAAGGATTTGTGGAAGAAGGTAAAGAAGACTTTGTGTGCAAATTGAAGAAGTCTTTGTATGGGCTCAAGCAATCCCCAAGAAAATGGTACAAACACTTCCTCTCCTTCATGCTCTGAATTAGTTACAAGAGAGGTGAGTATGATTATTGTGTTTACTCACACACATTTGATGATGGTCACATGATTATTTTAATGCTATATGTGGATGACATGTTGATTGCATGTTGAGATATGTCAAAAATAAATCCACATGATTATTTTAATGCTATATGTGGATGACATGTTGATTGCATGTTGAGATATGTCAAAAATAAATGAACTCAAAGGAATGCTGAGTTTGGATATGTCAAAAATAAATGAACTCAAAGGAATGCTGAGTTTGGAATTTGACATGAAAGATCTTGGTGCCGTCAAGAAGATTCTCGGAATGGACATTAAAAGAGATCGGGATAATGGGAGACTGTATTTTTCTCAAAGTAAGTACATTGAAAAGGTCCTTGAAAGATTCAACATGATCAATTCCAAGCCTGTGTCCACTCCATTAGCTACTCACTTCAACTTAAGTACAAAGCAGATGCCATCTACAGAAGTTGAAGCTGAAGAAATGAAGAAGATTCCATATGTAAAGCGCAGTCGGATGCTTAATATATGTAATGGTATGTACAAGGCTAGATCTCACTCAAGCTTTGAGCGTGGTGTCAAAATACATGTCAAATCCAGGTAAAGATCATTGACAAGCTGTCAAAT